TGGGCCCAAAACCCCCGCGCGGCGGGCCGAGACTCTACCCGCTCCCCCCAGCCTTCAGCAGTGGGGTACGGGGGGAGGGGGGCAGCACGAGCAGGAGTGGGAGAGATCCAAGCTGGGCGCTTGTAACGAGAACGGGTAAATCCTCGAGATGTCTGATACCTCGTGGAAGAGCATCTGATCCCTGTGGCCTCATGCAGGACATTCCTGCGTGATGACAGATGCTACAACTCCTCCGGGTGAGCAAAGGCCCCAGCTTTGGGGTAGTAAATACCAATATAGCGTGGCTGTTTTAATCTGGGGCTTAGCTCAAGGCTTAGCTCAGCTTAGCTTAGCTTGGGCTGTTCTGCTGGCCAGGCTCAGCACGGAGGTATTAGTGGCTCCAAGCGGCAGCGTCACGGAAGGAGCAGCGAGGAGGGATGGGGAGAGATGGTCACACATCATGCAGTGTGGAGGGAGGAAACTCACGGATACTCCTGACGGAGGCCCGGGACGGCTTGTCGGATCGGAAAGAGGAGGAAGCTGCTTCCAAACAAAAAGAGACATGCTTAAAACAACGTGAACTGGAGAGAGGGAAAGGCAGGGCCCAAAGGGAGGATCTGTTAGGAGAAACAGGGCGGCCCACATGCTGTGTTAGAAACCCGCCTGCCTTGTCGGGACCAGGGAGGGACGAATGCAGCATGATGGAAGACGGGGAGGGAGCGAGAGATGCTTCGTTTTTTCCTGTCTGCCACTGCTGGCGCTGGGTGGGCACTACAGGCGAGCGGCCCCGGGCTGGAGACCCCGCTGGGACATCCCCAAAGCCACTATAACGAAGGCTGCTGGGCCCCAAGAAAAAACAGCCCAAGTCTAGAGGCATTTCTGACTTTTTCAGAGCCCGGGCAGGCACATCCAGCACACCAGAAACATCATTTCCAGACAGAGTAGTTCCCCTCCGTCCCCAGGAGGCTGCTCCAGAGGCACCTGTGTGCACACACACCAGACAACTTTACCTGAGACTTTGGGGGTAGGATTGCAAGAGAAGCCCCCGTTAGACTGGTCAGTGTCTCCGAAGTCATATGTCTCCCTGGGTTTGGGCTTGTATTCCCGCTTGGGGCGCGAGGAGGCCTCCCTCATTCTGGAAGAAGGAAGAGAAATGTGGATATATTGAAATATGAAACAGAATATGATGAGATCAACATGGTATTTGTTCTCCTGGGTGGCTACGCAGGGGAGCAAATTGGTTTGTAGACGAGAATCTGCACAACCCTCTGCGCTGGGGCGTTTTGAAGATGGATCTTGCCCAGGGTTTGGGACCTGGTCCTTAGAGGGCCACACGCCCCAGGCTTTGCTATGGAGGTGTCTCGGGCAATTCAGGCCAGCAGAGGACACTCGTGCTGCAGTTCGAAAGCTCACACTTGGAAGGATCCTCCCAGCTCTTCTTAATTCAACCCAGACACGGGATCCACTCAGCAGTTTCTTCTACAAGGAAAGAACAGCAGGGCAGCATCGCCAAATCGCCCCGAGAAGCGGAGAGGCTGCCCTGGCTCTGTCCAAACCACCCTGCGCCGGGCTGAGGAAGGCATGTCCCCAGCTCCGCAGGGGAGCCCCGGATGCAACGAAGCCACCTCTCCTTCCTCGGCCAGGGTTTGGGGAGATCCTTGCTCAGGTGAGACAGAGCAGCAGGAATAATGACCGTGCAAGTCACGGCAGTCGCGTGAACCAGCTCGCTCGGTATTTCAACGGCACCTCTGTGTTTCTTGGCACCTCGGCAGCAACCGCACGTTCCTTGGGGCCGCTGCAGAGGTCAGGCACCCGAGGAGGGGCAGGGAGAGCAGCAAGACCAGGCAGCTCCGCGGCTCTTCCCGCTCCTGCGTGCCAGACACCCATCTGCCTTTCACCAACAGGCTCACGTGGCTCAAAACTCCAGAGCACACGCGGCAGTGCCACATCTGCGGCAGGGTCTACCAGGAGACTGCCTTGTAAATAGAAGGGAGAGCTGGAAAATGAGGGGTCTGGCGGGGGGCTCACAGGTGCCTTCCTTGAAGGAGGTGATCTAAGTGCTCTTCCGCTGGCCTGTGGCCACCACGTCATCCCCACCACGCTGCAATCACCTTCTGGTCTTCAGAGCAACTGGGAACCCTTGACGCGGACCTTTCTGGGCCACAACCATGGCCAGTCTCCAGGTACCCTCCTTATCCACAACTGAAGCTAATGGCACAAAGACTCTAGGCTAGGCACTTCCAGGTGACACGGGGTGACAGGCATGTCCAGCTCGTGACGTCTGAGCCGTCTGCTCCATCAGCACAATGCAATTTCTGACTTGATCCTGGGTCTGGCCAAAAGGCACTTCTTGGGGGACACTCCCATGCTCAACGCTCACAGTGCAAGGAGCCGCGAGCCCCGGCATGAAGGGGATTTCACCCTCCTTCTCCACCCCTGCCAAATTCAACTCCAGCCTCCCCGGGAGCAGCACACCCCGATTCAGGCAGGGGCTCAGTCCCGCAGAGACCAGCCGCCCACGGCGCAAGCACAGAGGCTTTGTTTCAGGTGTCAGAACACGCCCGTCATTGAAAGCGGGTTGTGCGGCTGACATCGCTCCCTCCAACCTGGAGGAAGTTTGGACTGAAGCTCTAGTGATTGCAAGAAGCAGCTTTAACGCCAGGGGATAGATTTAGAGGGGGAGTCAGGTATTTACAGGCAAGTACCACAGGGACAGGTTATGGCTGTGAAAACCGAGGGTGCCTACAGCACCCTGGGACTCACCTGCGCTTGAGTTTTTCCGCAAGCTCGTCCAGGATCTGCACTGCCTGCCTGTGGTAGTCCAGCTGGGCGTCCACCAAGGCCGAGAGCTGGCTCACCTGCTCGATCTGCGAGAATCACACCAAGGTGGGATGAATGGCTCTCCCCAGCTGACAGGAGACTCCTGCATTGCACACGGGGGCTGAGACCATACTGGGGAACGGGTACAAAGGGCAACTTCTCCGGGGAGATGAGGAGAAGGTTTGGGATTTCAGACACCAGAGGTCAGGCACTGGCCGAGGCTCAGCAGGACAGAGGACGCCTCTTACCACTCTCGGGGCTTCGCTAGCTGTTCAAGTCCTTCCCAAGTACCTGCCCAAACTTACTCCCACCAGCACACTGAGAAGAGACCTGTTTTGGTCAGAGGAGGCCACAGCTTCTCCTCCGGCCAAGAGCTGGATCAGGAAGAGGGGCTACAGAAAGAATAAGAGGCCCGCCAAGCCACGTGCTGGGCCCTCAGATCTGGGTATTCAGAGAGCAAAACCACACTTGAGAGTGGAAACGAGTGTCTAACGTCTGCATCCCTCGAGAGATCCCACCCTCGTGTACACAGCAACACGCAACCCGCCCGGCAGCTCTCAGCCCGGGGCAGAGGAGCCGGCGCTCCCCCCACGCACTCACATCAGTTTCTAGGAGGTTATGCATACTGGTCTCCGCTACTTCCTTGGACTCTTCAAATTTCTCCATGGCCTGTCGGAGTTCCTCATCGGGGATTTTGCCCTGTCGTTTCTTCTTGTAGTCAAAGTCCAAGCGTCTGCCTTCCAGCTTCTTGAGATGGTGCTGGGAAGAGGATGGTTATGAACAGTAAAGGAAAAGAAGGGAAAGCCAGAGACTGGGAGCAGCCAAGCTCTCCTGCTGGGAAGGCAGCTCTAGTTACAGGCCAAGTTCATTCGCCTCAGAAACCTGATCTCGGAGCACACGCTTCTGTGGCTCCCACCTTTGTTCAGACTCCAGAGAGGCTCCAGGACGTGAGAGCTGCAAGGCAGGGCTGCTGCGAGGTGACAGGGAGGAGCGGACCGTCCGAACTCAGTTTGGCAGAGGATTACTGCATGGCTGCGGGGGGCTTTTTACTAAGAAACAACCCTCAACAAATTGAAATGGCGATACGATTTCACCCCCTTCCAGCCGAGAGCTGGAGGAAAACACCGCAGGGAGCAGCCCGGGTCTGTTCCCCATGCAAGCCTTTCGGGAAGATGAAAAGTTGGCCCGCTACTTTCAGCTCCCCAGGAGCAACGGGGATCTCTGGAGATCAGGAATTGGGACGCAGGTTCTGGGCACTGCCTCCCCTGACTGCTTACGGCAGGGCTGTTTAAATAAGCTTTACGGCGGCCTGCAGAATTGGAGTGCAGATAAATACTGAAACAGTAGATGTCGGTTATTTTATCCGGGACACCACGGTAAGCGAAAATTCACTCGAGAGAGCTGCCTTGTGAATTACAGGTTGGGATGGATCCTATTACAAAGCCTGGCCGTGCTTTGCATGGACTTGTCTCTGTGGTAGCACACGGGAGCTACCAAGCTCCGTGTCTCCCCGGCGAGACACCGAAGGGCCTTCTTGAGATGCTGCGTTAAGAGACCTAGAGGGAAGCTTGCCCATAGCTTGAAAGTTGTGTTACAGGATCCAGGCTACTAACAGAATAGAGCCAACAGCTGTAAAGAACACTGTGAAGTTTAATGCCAGGCAGCCCAAACGTAACACGGCTGGGAGCTCACAGCACAGCGAGCCCAGAACGCATGTTGGGACGTACTCCCACGGCATCCTCCACAAGACACAGTAAATGAATCACAGAATCATAGAATCATTAAGGTTGGAAAAGACCTCTAAGATCATCGAGTCCAACTGTCGACCCCACACCCCCATGCCCACTAAACCATGTCCCTCAGTGCCTCATCTACATGTCTTTTAAATACCTCCAGGGATGGTGACTCAACCCCTTCCCTGGGCAGCCTGGTCCAATGTTTAACCACTCTTGCAGTAAAGAAATTTTTCCTCGTGTCCAAAGACATGAAGAACCATTCAAACCTGCATCCAGCCGTACGAGCTGCTCAGGAGCAGTAGCAGCAGCGGTGCCGAGCAGGGAGGAAATAGTGAATGTGGGGAAAGAAAGCACGCACAGTGCAGGGGAGCAGACCCGCTCTGCGAGTCCTTGGTTCCCACCGTGACAGAGCAAGCGGTTACATGCACTAATAGCCAGGAGAGGCCAGAAACTAGAGGAGGGAAAAGCATGGTGGTGTTTACCTGGATCTCTTTCAGGTCTTTGTCACACAGGTTCTGGAGGGGATCAATAAAATTTTGTTTGACTTCAATATCCAGCGAGTCCTTCACTTCAGCCAACCGCTTCATAGATTCGCCAGCATCAAGCAGCGCGTCGCCTTCGAGTGAGAAAAGGAAGGGAAGAGAAAGGGAGAAGGGCCCAGCCAGTCAAACAGAGCCGAAGTCTGTGGCGGCTGCCTGCAGAGCCATTCTGCCAAGACCCCCAGCGTGTGCAAGCTCTGTCCCCCGTTCAACGCCCCCACATTTCTATCTGGAGAAAATCTCCGAGCCTGGCACGGAGCGAGCGGTGCCCAGCGTGAGAGCAGGCAATTGCCTGTTGGTACTGACTCCGCACAAGAGAGTTCACTAGCACGCTTCAGTTTTTTCCTCTGAAAAACAGGAACAATCTCTATCAATTACACAGAGGAAGGAAAAGGTAAAAATATTTTTAAAAGCAATTATTTTTAAACTCCCTGTTAGCTCAGAGAGTCGCTGAGCTGCTAATCGGCCATGTAGTGCTTTAACCTTGCTCTGCTCCTTGGCCACTGCCGGCAAGAGAAGCCCCGGGCAGAGGCATGTTCGGTCTGATCCAGCCTGGCCATCCTTTTGTTCAGACAATTTTAAGGCCAGAGCGCTCTGACCAACTTTTCAAGTTTCCCCAGATGCTGGCAGCAAACCTGCAGCCTTTTATTCATTTTAGACACCAACCTCTACCAGGCCAACCTCATCCCTTCTCCTCCCCTCTGAATCAGAGAGCTCAAAGCTGCTTATTGAAACCTATCTCGTTTCATGCTTTTCTAAGGCTCCTGCCACAATGACAGCTAAGCCAGACGGACTTGCAGCAAAGCATTTTTAGTCTTGGCTTTTTATTCCAGTGGAAACCATTTATAGATTAAATTATTCCTGTGCAGCTTTGGCAAACCAACCGTTTCAGCACTACATTAGCACAGGAAAATATACAAGTGAAATAGTGGGTAAAGTGAAAACATCACTCTACTGTCCAGCTGGAAAAATAAATATACAAGAGGAGTTATTTCAATTGTGATAGCTCTAGATAACCTGTCCTAGGGAGGGACGCAGTACTAACACAGAAATTTATCAAGTTAAGTGTTCCTTTAAAGAGAGGCTATTAAAGGCAATCAGGTTTAGTGTGTTCTTCTAAAAACTTCCTTCCCCCTTGCTCTCTGTACAACTCAGGTTCCTGCAAGCCAAGAGAGATGCAGGGCTCGGAGTTGGCCAGAGACACTCTCGAGACTCCTTCGACGCTCCCACAAAGTAGCCAGAGCTTTTTGATTTTCCTGAGGCAAGAAGGCTCCTCCCTGCGCTGGAAGCCATCAGACAGCTGTGTACTGTACCAGGTCTGTCACATGCGCAGGCTGATGTTTTAGCGGATCAAAATTGCTGTCACCGAAAGGCTTCACCCCTCCTCCTCCTCCCTGCAAGTCACACGTGGTTATGAGAAACTGCCACGCAAAAAGATTTCTTGGCTACAGCCTCCCTCTAGCAGAGCTCTAGCTGGAAATGGCACCGTAAAACTCCGCATCTCGCTCAATCTAGTTTCCACGTCACCGTTGTTCAGTTTAGCAGCAAGGAAGCATTTTTTTCCTACATGTAAATTTATCTCCGTGTTTAATAAGAAAGCATTAAGAGGTGGTTTTGCACATAATGCCATGGATTGGGATCCAGGACGCTTGGGCTCTGCTCGCCCCTTCCCCGCCGCCCCCGGGTGGAAGCCTTCGAACCTCTTTTAAGAGCCCCCAGTACTGTTAGGTGACGCAAAGGGTCACACAGCCCTTCCAGAATTTAGAGTAACAGCTTGGAAATTTGGCAGCAGCCTTCACCATCTCATCCGCACGCTCCTAGGGGGAGCTGGCCCGAGGGGACACTCACCGAAGTTGGAGTCCTCGCCCAGCTCCTTGCCGTATCGGATCATGCTCTCCCCCAGCAGCCCTTCCGACTGCGGGTAGCCGGGGTTCTTCACCTGCCCGCGGATTTTCGACATCGTGTTGAGCATGGTTAGCTTGGCTCTGGAAGCTGGCACAGAAACAGCCACAGCCGTGTTTGCAATTACTTGGACTTGCCAGCAGCTGCTGGCCACTGCCAACTTCTTTTTTTCTTTTTTTTAAAAGCTACACCCAAAGCCAAGAAGCCCTATTGTCTTCATCTACCAGAAGTATCATTTGCTACGAAAAGAGAAGTTTCTTTTCCAAGACAGCAAGCAAAAATAGTTCCCCACAGCTCGCCAGTGAAGGCCAAAGGAGTTTCCCCAGCCCTCCCATAGTCCCTGGAGTGCTCTCTGAACGAGCTGGCTGGAAGCACGCAGGACAGCAGGCTCCAGAGGCGATGCCTACAAAGCCAGCCACCCCTTCCCAGCCCAGAGACGCCACTTTTTCTGGACATCCCAAGAAAAACGGGTCCCCTTCAGGGCCTCTCTAGGTCCAAGGCAAAAGATGCGTCTGTTCTTTCACTGTTCAACAGCAACAGCAGCATCCTACAGCCCAGGAACACTGCACAGGGCAAGAGGGGTGTCAGGATCTTCACCTGAGTCGCAAAGCACCAGCGAGCCAAGAGCCAGACCCCGCTAGCTCCGCCAGCGAGGCCACAGGACGGCCACACGTATAAGATGACCCAGCACACCTCTGGTCAAGGGAGGCAGCATGCCCGATCTCAAACGTGGGCTGGTACCAGCCAAAAAAGTTCTCTCTGATGCCCCTCTGCCCCCTTTCCTGGAAAACTGGGGGGCAGAGGGAAGGGGACAGGAGAGGTCCAGGGACTCACCTGGGTTCGGCTGGAGGTACTCTATTGTTCTGGTCAATACTTCTGTAACCGCCTTGCTGGTCAGGTCCACTTTCTGTAGGAAAGACAAGATGACCCAGCAGCAGTGAAGTTCAGCTCAGGGCTTTGGCAAGGTCACGGGGGAGTTAGATGGGCTATTTTAGAGATTTCTCTTGTTCCCTACTCACCTTTTCCATTTCCTTGAAGTCATCGTCAAGCTTGGTCCCTTCAGCTCCTCCAACCTTCTCGCTGACCAGCTGCAGAAAAAGAACAAGGGAGGAGGAATCAGGCACGGTAGTAGCTGACTGCTTAAAGCTCCTTATACCTCATGCAGTAAGTCCCTGGGACAGGAAGGCAAGAGGGGTGGTCCAGACAGCATCTGCAAGAGAACGGAGGTGGCAGGAACAGCCCAAAGCACATCAAAAAGACGTGGCTCTTTGCTAACACTGCCCCGCTAAAAATCCGAGCATCTCCTACCCTCCCAAAGCACGGCTCAGTCCGGATATTTCTCACCCAACAGAAGCTACACAGCTCCTTAAATCACACCACACAGCTCCGACTCCAACGCTTGCTGGAAAAAGCAAGCGGCAGAATTGTCTCTCGACTCCATTTTGAGCCAAGGCTTCAGTTTCACACATGGCGAAATGCAAGTAAACAGGGAACGAACACACTCTGCTCACAGCAGCCAGCACGTGAACAGAGTCTGGAGAGAGCAAGAGACCTCTCAAAGCCCTAAACCATCACTCCTAGGGGAAATGCTGGAGGACCTCAGGATCGGGAGCACCTCAGGATCTGGAGCGCAGGGCTTTTGAATTCTTTGTAAGCGGAGGAAAAGAGATCTGCAGAAGCTACGGTAAAAGTTTTCAAATCCATTTATCGAAGCGTCTCTGACGCCTGTTCTAAAACTAGCGAAAAGGTGAGATGTTTGACAAGCTGTAAAGACAGGGCTGCTTTTGGCTATTTGTGCAAGGTGCTTATCACCGTTCTTCTAAATATCACTCGGTCTAAGAAAAGACCCCTGCTCCCTCACCATTCAACTGCCCGAGCTGAAACATAGTAAGTGCCTTATTAAATCCACCTAAAAGTGTCCTTCCCTGCAGCCCAAACAGAGAGGAACGTTTCCTTCCCAAGCCCCATGCCGGTGTGGCAAGGCAAGTGAGAGCGCCTGGGGATGCAGGACATACGGATTGGCCAAAATTAGTGATTATCTTGCCCCTAACTGGTCCAAACGGACAGCAAATCACCTATACAGACATCAAAAATGGTCTAGGAAACAGGCGCTGACTCCCAAGCACTTGACGCCTGCCGCAGGCGGGAAATTGCCAGGATTTCTCATGTTTGTAGTCAAAACTCCAGTTCTGAAGGAACAATACAGGTTTGTTTACTTCAACATCAAATACTTGATTTTATCAAGTCTTTCTTCCTTTGGAACCCTCCTGCTTCCACCGGGATTCAAAATGGTTCCTTACTTTTTTGAGGAAGGGCGGGGGGAAGCCCTTAGGTAATCATCCAGGTTCAAAAGCACTCGGAGACACCACGCCGGCCACTCTGTCCTGCCTGCTCGCACCTACCATCCAGCGCTCAGCCCCCCAAAATCAAGTTACCAAGCACAACACGCAGAAGAAATGCTTGTTATTACAAAGAAGAACAAGATCTTCAGCGTTTCAGCAAAATCCCATTTCCAGACCCCAAAATAGGGAAGAGAAAAAGAAGGTAACGAGCACGTTCAAAGACCCTCGGTACGCCAAACGCCCAGCTCTGGTGCTGAGCACAAACGTCCTTGCTCAGAGCACAGCCACGGCTGATAAGCTTCTTGCATCTTGGTAGAGAGACATCAGCAACTGCTCAACGCTGCCGAGGCGGCGCAGACATTGCAGAGAAGAGGCTGGGGAGAGCGGAGAGCTCTTCTAGCCGGCCGCCCAGCACGCAGCCGTGCAGCATCAATCACTGCAGGGCCAAAACGAGGGTTCAACGAGGTTGACAAACGAGGCAAGAGCCTCTCGGGGCCTCGCTGCACCAGGGGAAGCCTTTTTTTCCCCTCTTTCGGAGGAAGCACAGTTCAGCAGAGGACCCGAGATGCCAGACAAAGAGGGAGTGCTGTAGTTCACCCTTGACATTTAGACACTGGGGGAAAGGAAAGGGTTGCTGCTCTCCTGCTTCACCCAGCTCAGCTCTGGATTCAATTCTCCTGCTTAACCCCGAGGATAAGGTCTGCACAGGTCCACAGGTCCTAGGGAGAGCATGGCAGGACGGCCCAGCCCTGCACCCTGCCATGCCGTGTCCGGCGAGCGTACGGAAGAGGCCCAAAAGGAATATTATCACCCCATAGCTGCCTGCAGATGGACAGCCGATCTGAGCGTGATTTCTTGCTTTTTTTTGGATGCCTGCTCCGCGTTCGGGGTGCCAGCACACAGCCCGGCAAGCCGGCCCCGAGCTGGGGAGGCGCACGTTCCTCTTTAGACACACCGAGTCTAGAAAAAAAACCCCACGAAGCAGTTGCTCTGCCTGCCAGGGCAAGCTCAGCAGAGCAAAGCTCGCTCCCAGCTGCCATCGCCTGTCCCCTGCCAAAAGTCCCGCAGCCTCCGCAACCAGAAAGGGGCACGGATCGCTTTCGCAAAGGTCGCACCTCCAGAAACCTCCTTTACTTGTCAATACACCTGGGAAGGGTGCAATTATCCCAAGCAATTCCATTTCCACTTTTCTCCACCCACCCACCCACGGATTTGCAGCCCAGAAAGCTGCAAATAACCCCTTTGGCAGGGAGCTCTGCTGTAATCGGGGACTGCATGCCATGTCAAAGGCATTGATCACCGCAGTGATTTTGGAGGCTTAACACCCTCCCAGAGAGCCGAGAGATGTGAAGGAGGGAAAAAAAAACCCTCACTTGCAGACTAATTTAATCCTCCTTTTGACGTCCAAGAAATGCTACTGGTGCCCTGCTGTGAAGGAATAATAAGATTGAGGTTCTCTCCCTGCTGGCTCTAATTAAACTGGGAGGCTTCATCACGGGAGGAAAGAAGGAGGGACTGTGTGCCATCCGCAGCAGCTCCATCCCTATCCCCACGCTCCCAAATCTGTCAGGCAGGGAGACAAACCAATGCAGATTTCCCCCACAGCGCTAGCCGAGACACGAGCCAGGAGAAGCCCTCGCCGGCTTCTTGTTTAACCTAGAGCTTCACGACGCGACGGGGAGCCAAGTTTCCAAGCGCCACATCGTGCGTCTCATCGGGCTGCCTGCACAGAGCCTGCGAACGCTGGCAAAGTAGGTGGCTGCCTTTCTCAGGCGAGCATTGAGTTCACCAGGAAGCTCGCCCTTTGCTTGCAGGATGGGAGAGGAAGGAAGCATCCACGCGCTGCCTGTAGCGTCCAGCTTGGCCCAAGTGAACCGTAAGATGGTCAGCGAAACGCTGCCGGTGCACATCCCAGCACAGCTTCCTCTGGGGAGCGGTTCGGGGGCTTTCTTGAGGATGTGGTGACAGTTCTTCTGCACTTTTATTTCTCGAGCTGCCAAGAGTTGGGACGCGTCCGTCTTCCCCTGGTTGGGGACCTAACCTCTCGCAAATGCTGCAACCAAGACAGATGTGAACCCAGGGGAGGGACTGGCAAGGCAAGACATGCGAATCATTAACCAAATTCAATGGCCCAAACACTCTCTTGCAGGCTTACGCTGAAGCGCATCAGCTGGCTCGGTGTGAAAGATGAGAACAAGTCTATACTCTCTGGTTTCTTTAATCTCCCAGCCCTGCCAGGATGGGACACATACTAAAAGGTTAAACCTGAAGCAAGCCCTGCCGCAGCTCGGAGAAGGGGCAGGGCGCGGTGACAGAGCAGAAGCCCTCAGCTGCGCTGCCACAGCAGCCGAAGCCAAATGCTTCCTAGAGCAAATATTACCACAAGGCGATACAGTTGGGCGTCACGGCCCAGCGAGACAAAAACTGCTTCAAAATGGGACGGCTGTTTACCCGGCATCCCAACCAAACCACGCCGCAGGGTGGGGGAAGAGGGCAGAGGGTGCACGCAAACTCCAACAGAGAAACCAGGAATCAATCCCTCGCCTCCCATCCACCTTTAATTAAAAGGATACTGGCAGTTAAAACGTGCCCTAGATAGTTCTGACCTGAGATCAGAGAGTAGGGAGGTGCATTTAATTCAAGGCTCCCGCGCCGTGCCGGCGTGCAGCAGCTCTCACCCCAGCAAGCATCACCAGGAGCGCGGCATCCAGCCTGCTTCATCTGCAGGAGAACTAATCCGGGGGGTTGAGATACGGCCACGTCTTGCCACCGACGGGCTGCTCTCGACCATGCTTTGCAGTTTCTGCAGCCTTGTTTTACAGAGCATCGACTCACAGGGGCTTCCATCGATTTCCTTCGCAGGGGCGTGGGAACACGAACAATATCTGACTTCCCCTCGCCGTTCAAAACCCACCGAAGGGCTGCGCATGGTGGAGGATCTTCGGAAATGAAAGACCTATTGTTTAAACTAACTACTGCGGCAGGAGGTTGGCTACAGGGAGAGGCAGGAATGGTATGTGTACACAGAGGGGGAAGAAAGGCGCGATGAAGAAGGCTTCTCTTTTACAGCTGGGAGTGGGAGAGACAAGAGAGGGGGAAGAAAGGCGCGATGATGAAGAAGGCTTCTCTTTTACAGCTGGGAGTGGGAGAGAAACAAGAGAGGGCTGCGCAGCCGCTCCCAACTTACGACACAAAATCCACACACCTCTCCTCAAACCCCACCATTCCTTCATCTCATCTGCTCAACTGCTGCCCAGCTCCAGGACGAGCTGGCAGTAAATAAAGAAACCTGAGCGACCATCTCTTGCTATACTGCGCCGGACATCCTTACATGAACCAGATGAATCAGACAGACAGGTATCAGTCATCTGCTGCTGCCCACGCCGTCACCGAAACCTAAACAGATCCCAAAGGCCTGGAGAAGGACCCTGACACACCCGCTCCCACCCCAAAGCCTCATTTCCCTCGTTGCTGGCTGCAGCATCACCCCCATTAACATTCCTGCCGGGAGCACAAGGCCCAGCACATTTCGCCACGCGTCGGGTGCGTTTGGCCTGGATGTATTTAGGAGCACGGAAGATTGGGAGAGGTTTTGTGAGCAGTGGATGAGGCTGTTCCCCGAGAGGAGATGGGCAGTCCCAGCTCGGAGCAGTGGGATAGGCGGTCCTGCACCGTGGCCTGGCTGCGTCGCTCCCAGGGGCTGCCGTTGGCAGAGGTGTGAAAGATGCGTAGGAAAAAAAAAAAAAGAAAAAGGAGATTTTTGTACA